AGGCTCAATGCCTCCGCTGTCGAGTCTCGATGACTCCGCTGTCGAGTCTCGATGACTACGAGACACCATACGGTGTCGAGACGAGACATGTATCGAGGGTTCCTCACTATCTGAAGCAGAGAGTGAGTTGGGGTTGATGCAAAGGCATAGGTGACTGACTCACCGACGATTGCCTTTGTGTAAACCCCTCGTTTAAACCCAACCAATCGTCTGGAGGTTCGTTTTTCGTCCTTGATAAGTAGCAACACCGGGCCGCCGGCCCAAGGGATTTATAGAATATCTGGGGCGCCGCGAACCGATGGCTAATATGCTAAGGGAAGAAACGAAGGAAGTGGAAAAGAAGGATAAAAAGATGATGAATGATGACGGGAGCGGCGTGTCATGACAACGACGCCGACGAGACGATAGTTTGCAGTAGAACTGGATTCTTCCGGATATAGATGTTGAATGCATCAGACGACCAACGTCCAATGCCTTGAATGAGTTCTCGAGGTGTACCGCACTCTGCTAAGAACGTCGCACCACCAGCACGCATTGATTGGCCGCCAAATTTACGGTCCAAGCAGAAACGTCGGAAGCGGGTCATAAACCACGACCGAGTGGGGACTTTACCGGCCGAAGTCACCCAGAGGAAGGGATTGAGAGGGAAGCGACCATCACGACGATTTAGGTAACAGCGAAAAATGCCAGGGACATCAATCCGCGGGTGATAGATTATGACAATGCGAGCACCTTCAAAAGCTTTGTCGGTTTTGTGCGTCTCAAGCCAAAATGAAAAGCCATCCTCAAGGAACTCTACACGCGAGCGCAGGGAGTATTTGCGAGGGTTACGAAGACGCACTAAATCAGGGCATGTCATCTCTCCTAGACGAAGGAGCCCACGTGTACCCGTTGCCATCATGGTGTTGAACAGGAGGTCGTCGTAATTCGGGTTGGCAGGCAACTGATCCATGCTTTCACGGATGCTGTCAACCGAAAGGGGAAGTTTCCGTGAAGTCGGTTTCTTGTATAAACGTTTGCATCCCTTCAAGGTACGGGACACAAGATGGTGGTCGTGGTTTTTCTTCACGTCGGGGTAGAAGGGGCGGAGTTCATGGACAATACCAGATAGGTATCCACCAACAGAGTCAGGGTCAATGTGCGAGCACATAAAAACAACAAAGAAGGATAGTGTGTCGGGAGTGGGGTCGATGGGAAAGTGATGTAGTTCGCAGAAGGTGAGATATGAGTTCAGAGCTGAAGAATAAGTGGAGCGAGTAGTTGTGTCAATGGACATGCCCAAGGCAATATTCCGTCTGCCGATTAGTTCCTCGACGGACCAGGGTTTACGAGGAGGCTGTCTCGCACCCCGAGAGATGGATGGTGTCATTTTTTGGCTGCCCCCAGCACACAATGAGGGGGTTGAAAAGGGAAAATGACAAGGTTCGTTTGAATTGCATAGGCGCGATCGAAGTCATGGCGAGAAATTGCATCTGCAACGTCATTCTCCTCGCCAGGGATGTGGACAACACGTAAATCGATGTTGTGTTTGATCAGAAGATCGACGGCGGCCTTTAGGAGGTCGTTATAACCGCTATCCGCCGCAAGGGTATCGAAGATATGCACAGTGTTGAAGTTGTCGGTAAGTATGGTCAAGCGAATTGGGCGGTCCGAAGGGAAGAGTTGTGGTGCAGCCTTCAACACAATGCGCACAAACCATTCCAACGCACTCAACACTGAAACCGACTCCCAAAAGAAGATCTTCGGATCATGAGACATCTCGATCGGAACCTGGCTATAGCAACCCCATGACATGCGGGGAGACCAAAAACCCATGCCCTCAAGACAGGCATCACACCGTATCTCGAAGTCACAGTCAGCAACAGGATTCCAGTCCACTGAGTCAAAAAGGTAGACACCATTGGAATTAGAAACATGCTTCAGAAACCAACGAAGATCAACGCGGACAGCATTGTTGAGGTGAACATAGCCCCACCTATCACCCTTCTTCGACATCTTCTGATACACATGGCAAAGAGCGGGACGTAAACGTGGGAAGACGTTCAAAGACCAGGAAATCCACCCAGCCAGTTGTTGCCATTCGTAGAGTTGCCGGCGTTGGTTAGGCGAGTCAATGAAGCGCTGTACAGCCGCTATAAGATCTGTTTTAGAATCCTGAGGAAGGGTGATTGTCAACCTATTAACATCGACTAAGAATCCAATGATTTCCAAGATCTTTCCGTGGAGTTGTTTGCGGCGTTTGTGTGGGATGCCAAGTCGGTCCCAAATACGTAACAGTGCAGCCTGCTTCGCTGGCATCATGATCCCATAAGGAGCGTAGAGAACAAAGTTGGTAGCCTCTTCCCATCCAAAGTTATCGTCGATGTATGCGAATATGTCCTTAAGCCCAAAAATGAAGAGCACAATCCACAAGACAAGGCCCATCACAGACGCCCAGGTACGTGGTGAAGCACAACTCCCAAAGGAGCATCTCCAATCTACTCGATGTTTAAGGGGTCCACGGTCCACGTTGCTCTCCACGTCCTCAACAGATGGATAATTGGTCGTCACAATCTGTTTAATCTGCCACAACGGATGAATGGGACACAACCGAAACGCGCCTGCTACATCTGATTTGAACGCTACAAGCTCCGTAGTAGGGTTGGCACGCTTATACCGAAGGAGAGCAGCTGTGAAGTTATGGAGGGTATCGAGGCGAGCACCCTTGGTCTGTGAACGATCCATCATCGAATTTTGACAGAATTCCCCATAGCTCATGTGATGAACAAGGCGAAGGTCGTCGGAATGTGGCTTTGGAACGAACAGGACAGGCGTACTATACATGCCATCAAGGAGGTCAGAGCCGAAATCACGAGAGTGATGTCCTGCAAGTTCTTCAGCCTGACTATAATCCTCAAGGAACTTCCGTTCTCGCTCTGTCTTTGGATGGAACTCGGAGTTGCTGTGTGTGAGAGGGTAGCCATCGTCATGATGGGTATCAGCCCATGGCCAGGATCCTTCGCGCAGCATTGTCATCACAGACTGGACGAACGGTTGATTAGGATGTTTAGGGGACAACGTGTCAGATCCCGTCAACAATTGCTCCATCTCGTCGACGTTGATCTCTGTCGACACGTGAAAAAGGTCAGGGTTCTCCTCGATCGTTCGGAGGACTGATTCATTCTGGAACTCTTTGGGAGGTGGGCGGGGTAAAGGGGAATCGATTTCCGTCATGTACGCCGTGATACTGGAGGAAGATGAGGAGTCGCGCCAGGCATAACCACGTAGATACCTTGGGACACAGGATTGACACTCGAAGACGTCATCGGAACATGGAGAGTAGAAGTCAAACAGAGATGGATTAGGGGTATATATAGGAGCACTAGCTGACGGGGCAGAAGACGTTACCACAGAGGAATCAAGAGCAGGAGTACCGACCTGGGCATCACACCGCAGGTTTGGTACACTGTTTCTTGTCCTTCCGGCGGTGGTCAGCTCCTCCACAGGTGCTACACACGTGTTTCCGTCCTCCAGGGCAAGGTTCGGCACCTTTGGAACAGTTTCCATTATTCCAGTTGCGGCAGACTTCCTCGGACGACTTGGAACGGTTGCTATTCGGCCTTCGTGATCCACGAGAAGACATGGCGGGTTCGACATAGTGTTTGCCTCCAGGACTGAGGTAAGACTTCTCGAGATGTGTGAATCGATGGGTATCACTAAATAAGACGTCTCTAGAATTGGCGATAAAGTGGCGGACAGGTCGAAGTTGATAACATTGCCGTGGTGGTCGGACTTGAATTGAAGGAAGAAGTCCAAGATGTAGGTTCCATACGTTCGGAGTTCTGGTCCTCGTTTGAGGAAAGCGAATCCCATAGCCTGTTCAACAACTCTCCAGACTCTGCTCCAGTCTTCTTCGGTTGAAATGATGCCTCCTCCGAAAAGTTCCTTGTTGATGACATCGAAATCGAGGAACGATCCTTCAAGGAGTTCTTTCCATGATTGGTTAGGGAAGGTAGGAGCTGATCCGCTGGACCTGAGAAGACGTAAGGCTTCCTTCGGGTCTCTAGAGAAGTTTTCGAGTTGCGTGACGACGAGGCGGACGGGCTCTCTGAGTTCGTGTGAGTCGGAATTGACTTTCCAAGCGAGTTTGGACTTGTCGATTCGCTTCCGTCGTCTACGCGGCGCTTCTTCTTCATCTGAGTCGTTGTCAGAGGATGAGTCTGAGCTATCGTCGTCTGTACGTTTTCGCTTTGTCCGAGGGACTGTGTCAGGAGTGGGAATTGTGGTGGATTCACCATTCTGTGTTTCTCCCTGAACTTGCGCTTCGCGGAGAGTCTCGTCGTGAGCGTCCAGCTGGTCGAGGTAGGGTTGGCGTAGGTCTGCAGTGTATGATGTCCCAGCATTACTGGCTCCTCGTTCGAGGACAACTTCAATGGCTGCTTCAGCCTTGACTCGAGAGATGACACCTCGTCTATATTTGTCAACGAAGCTTTGCGCTTCAGTGATAACTTCTTGGTCAAAGGTGGGTTGTTCTGAGCTAGAGGCTCCGAAGGTGTGGGGAGCTCGAGAGGACGAGGGTGATCCTCCAGTCGGTCTAGGAGGTTCGGCATTGTGAGACATAGAATGTGTCGATGGAATATGATATATTCAGAATAGACGAAAAACAAATGACCTGGCGGACAAAGAAATAAGGTAAGAACACTAAAAACTGTATCATAACCATTAGACTTACCTGGCGGACAAAGAAATAAGATTAGGGTGTCCGCCAGGAGTACAGGATAGATAAATACTAGGGATGAAACTGATCGAGGCTCAATGCCTCCGCTGTCGAGTCTCGATGACTACGAGACACCATACGGTGTCGAGACGAGACATGTATCGAGGGTTCCTCACTATCTGAAGCAGAGAGTGAGTTGGGGTTGATGCAAAGGCATAGGTGACTGACTCACCGACGATTGCCTTTGTGTAAACCCCTCGTTTAAACCCAATCAAAAAAGACATGACATGCGATGCCTCGAATGCTCCCTGGCTGGGAGTCGAACCCAGCTTTCGCGCGTCGGCCTTGCTTGCATACGCATCATGACAGGCGCGTGTACTAACCGATATACTACCAGGGATTGGTTCGTTTCTATTGTTTTTGATGAATATCATGATTGATTGGTATAAACTAAACAAAAATGCTACAATAGCAGGTGTATGATCTCCACCCGGATTGAACGGATGGCCTTCGGGATTCAAGCTTCAAAATCGGACGTACACTGGAATCCGACGCTCTACCGCTGAGCTAGGAGATCGTTCCCATAAGCGTAAAGTGTGACCTGTCAACGGAGTCTTGAATCCCGGAGAATATCAGGTTTCGCTGACATCCGTCACTTAAGTGGCTTTAGAGTGGGGATACCACTGCCTTGATTGGATTGAGCTCAGTGTTCTGCACTAATCGCAGAAGAAACGTCACAAATGTGACGCGCCTCGACAGTATCAGGAGGATCATCAAACTTTTGATGATGTATTTTACAGATAACCCATTACGCAAAAACGGTGCTGCGCAGCTCTCTGTGACCAGGACGACGACGGCATGGGTACTTGGATTCTTGGATGTCGTGTCATGATGGAGCCTGTAAGAGCATGGCAATTCCATCTCAACGAAACATCAATCACCTGCATGGCTCTACAACTTCTATGTATATCAATGAAGTCCAAGGGAAAGAAGATTATATGCGGTATGATATCGTCTCATTTGGTGCCCCATAAAATGACAACACACTCAGATTCCACCTAACTGCCCAGGGTTATGACAACATATTGAGGGGCGAAAGGATCCTATCTTTGGTTCCGGATGTCCTGTAAAAAGTTCGCTCGAGCTTGGATCACACAGAGTCCTGCTATTTTCGCACAGGTGGGGCTATCTGACACTGAGCGAGAAGGATGCTGTGCGTCAGAGGAAAACTATAGCTAAAACAAACTGACACTCTGATCACATCAGTTTTTGCATGCTATTGCTACGCCGGTACGCATGGCCCATGGTCTGATTCATGCTGGATAGAAGTAAAACAGAGCGGAAAAGACATTGTATCTAATTCTATCTCACACCTCGACAAGTCAGTCTACCTCCTCATACCTAAACCACCACAGATAGCTTGCACGCCATCTTTTCCACAACAGATGAAGGAATGGATGATCGATTTTCCGATCTACTGGTCCTTTGGTGTGAAACCAATGGAAGAAGCAGACAGGAAGCACTTGAAGCTTCCACGACCAAGGATAGGAATGGCATCACCAACAAAGCACTATTGGAGGAATAATGCATACGATGCGGTGGCTGCATATTAGAAGGTCAAAGGATACGGATGTCAAGCATTTGCAAAAAATCTTGATTTGCCAATCCTCGAAGTTATAAATGAGGCTCATGATTCTATTCATGAACCCAGTTTCACGGTCGTTGAAGGTATGTCAGCGGTTCTGTGCACGATACCTGAGCTGAGCCCTCACAAGGTAGTATTGAAGAAGAAAGGGTTGCATATAGCTCCCTCCTATGAGCAAGTTTGCACCAGAAAAGACATGTGGTACTTAGCTGAACACTACTAGCTGTCGGTACTTAGTTTACCTATGTTCTGCACCCAGAAGGTATACCGAACGAATAACGATCATTAACTCCCAAATCTCCGCCGATTTGCTATAATACTCCACATTTCAGAGGGGGAAAAAAGGAACTCATCACAATCAAAAAACGAATCTGAACCATTTAAACCTCATTTTCATTCCCATCCGACGACAGTGATACTCGTTCACCTCCGAGAACGATCTTATAGCTCCAGCCATTGACACATACTCGCAGCATGGGCGCTTTCTGTCATTCGGCGCGTGAAAGATCATGCCAAGCGTTTGCTGTTGACACTCATTCTCTATCCGCATACGATTTCGACGTCTCAGCTGGTGCACAACAGCCTTGGTGAGAATTTCGGCAGGTCCACATGCTATCCTGGCAGCTCTATATCTGTGTGGGTATCTTGATGTATTCGATATGTATATTGATACTCCACAGGGCAGTTCAAAGTCGCCCGTGTGATCATGATGGTCACTGGCCTCAAACAAGCCATAGGCCGCCATAAAAGCCTACGCCCAAAGGAACGGATTTTCCCCAACTCCCATCTAACTACCATGGCATTTGTGGGGTCCTCATCCATATCTATTGCCGGCGATGCAGTGAACGTTGTTCACGGTGACCAGGTTAACAACACCGTCGTCATTCGGAAGGCAAGAAAGAAGATCAAAACGGAAGCGACGCTGTATGACGAGGTGGGTTCCATTGACTCCAGCATCCATATCTAATGTTGCTTTGGATTGCTAGTTCAGGAATGTCCGACTAGGGGATATCTATAGGACACGCGAAGTCGGGCAGAGCACTGTCCCTATCTATTACAAGATTCCACGTACGAATGTTGAACAATCAGTAGCCATAGCAAAAGTTCAAGATACGGATACATCTTCGAAATATACAGTTGTCACTTATCGAGGGCCTAATGCACATATCGTAAGGATTCAGTCCGAGCCTCAGTCAATAAATAGAAATTCATCATCTTAAAGGCATGGAATGTAGAGTTTGAAAGGCTTGCCCTAAAGCAGTACGTGGTCACGATCCATCAAGCAGCAGATACATGACCAAAACGTCAGGAACACATTTTTCACTCAACTCTTCGGAATAAATCGATCACAGGTACCGTCCTTGCTATTTTACGGTGGTAAGTTCGACGAGCCGCAAACGGGCAAAAAAGATTAATTACATTGTAGAACTTGTACCCCTATCCAATGCGTTCCCGGCATCTGCGGCTTCGATTTGGACTTGGATGACTATCTGTGCGTGGCGCACAAGAGTCAATTCAATGTGGATCGATATCGACAATGGTCGAATATGCAGCGGACCCACTCATAGTAAATTCTCTGCAAATGAGAACGGCCCAATTCGTCCTATTCATACTATACCTCCACCACGATCGGCTGAATTCCTCAAGGACGACGTTGCATTTCGATTCTTCAGCTCGCTGGATTATAATCCACGACAGAACAATCTTCTTCTTCAATATCTTGAGAACCGCAGAAGATCACGGGACAATGTCGATGGTTTTCCTCCATTGAATGGCTGTCAGAAAGGTGATCTCCTACTTCCCTTCGTAGTCTACACACCATCGTTGCGGCCAATCGCAATGATACGAAGCGAGGAAATCAGCTTTTCCCAGGGAGGTGCGCGCACATGGAAGGCTACTGATCATGGCGCTCTAAGATGGACTGAGAAAGTCAGCAAGAAAGATTATACTCGGCAAGATGTCATCTTATTTGCCATCGAACATACACTGACAGTGCTCAGGTTCCAGCTGACAGACCTCGGTTATCAGATGTCATTGTCAGGTGGAATCTTACAACTATATTGTCACCTTTGGTTCCGGATGTCCTGTCGAACATTTGCTCGAGCTTGGATTGCACAAAGTCCTGCTATTTTTACACAGTTGGGCCTACCTGACGCGGAGCGACAAGAATGCTGTACGTTAGCTAGAACCTGTCACAATAACCGAAATGAACTAACATCTCTTCTCATACGAGTTTTCAAGTGCTACTGTTATGGATTCCATGGACCATTTTCAGGTTTTTGCTGGATGCGCCTCCAAAGTAGCAATACGAATACTGCGTCTAACCCAGAGGGACAGACTCCCAAAATCGACAAGCCAGTCTACCTCCTGGTGCCTAAACCGCCACAGATACCGTGCACGGCAGATTTTCCAGGGCAAATGAAGGATTGGAATACCAATTTCCCGTCCTACTGGTCATTTGATGTCGAACCAATGGGAGACGCCGAAAGGGAGCACTTGAATCTTCCTCGAGCATTGCTGCAAGTGACAGCGGCACACAAAAACCACTGGAAAAATGAGGTGTACGACGCAGCTGCCGGATATCAGAAGGTCAAGGGCTATAGCTATGAAGCTTTTGCAGAGAGCCTTGAATTGCCTGTCCTCGAAGTCATAAATGGTTTGGCCCTCGAACCAAGTTTCACAGTCGTCGAAGGTATGTTAGCGGCTTGTTGACATTACCAAACTCGTTGATACATTTCTGAAGAACAAAGGGTCTCATATAGTAGGCGCTTAGAATGAGGGATCGAGTTTGGATCGTTGTTATAGCTCGTATTGGCCTTTGTACGAGAAGACCGTCACAATCCTCGTGGACTTTGTCTCGTGACATCTTCAAAGACCTGTAGAAGCAAGATGCTGTCGTATGTGTGTTACTGGATTACATTCAAGTTCATGTATATACGAGAGCCAGAAATCAACGTATCGGTGGCGCTAGCGTAGTAAAACAACGACCTACACGTTATGTACGACAATCTCGCCATACTCGCCGGGAAGAACTTTGGCTGCAGGATTTTATAATCGGGCCTATGACGCGAATCGTGGCATGTGTTCGATGTCGATGCAAGTAGCTCTTTCTTGTTCCTAATATTTCATGCTCTCTTTTCATGGGCAGGTATCTCTTATGTGTGAGCCGAGTGGTGTCGACGATAGAGCTCAGCCGGAAGACCACTTCTCCGATCACATCAATACCAACAGAAATCCTCGCTCTCGTCTATGTCCGTCATTATGCCAACCTATCTACAGAGAGTCAAATTCTTTTACACTGGCTCTCGTCCGGATCGCGAACCAGAGAGGTGGAAACAAGTGTCTTTATTTACCTCTGCACTTTGGTTCTCTCTCTACGTTGGGCTGAAGTTCCTTATCCCAAAAGATCCTCAACTTGTTACAGTGCATTTCGGAATGTATTTACAACGTTCAAAGTCACATCCATCGATCACATCATAAGAAGCGAATCTTCAAAATATCTACTCGGTCCCATGAATAACCTGTCAATCATAATATAGAATCAGAGGTAGCAATGAGCCAATGCATGGTCCTTGCACATGTGTTACTGATATACGAGCTTGAGAGTACCAGAGGCGTTTAAAAAACAAAATGCGGGAAATAATGGCAGAATCTGTGACTAGAAGACTTTGACAGCGATTGCCGAACAGAAGTTGGTATTAGGATAATGGATTTATTACCTGCCACAACCATCAGGAGCGAATTCCTACCGTAAACATAAATAGACTAATCACTGGCATATTAACCTTGTACCTCGTATGCAAAGTACTCATCATCCTGCAAGTCCATCTCGACGTAAATCCTGATAGCCAAGCCCTCTCGCTGCAACTTCCTTACCCAAGGCAGTACTGACTCCGGCACCCTTACATGATCTGATATCCAATACACCGATC